AATGCGCCTAAAATAATTGGCAGATATTTTTTGCAGTATATTTTTATTTCAAAACACTTCGAATAATCAAATTTTCTGTATTTTTCTACTGGCAGTTTTTATTTCTATGAGCTGCTCTATAATGATTGTTTATTTTTATTTTCATTGAACCAACGGATGATGATGAATGTAATATATTACAATTTTCGATATTCATCAAGATAAAAAACTTCTGAAAATTTTATTAGCTGTGACACAATTTTGGCTTATTCAGAAATTATATCAGATAGCAATGACACCAACAGTTGTTCATTAATGATGAAAAAACAAGCAAATGGCTAAAGGCATGTATGTTATTATTATTTATTTATGGAGAACATGTAGCACATTTACCAATTGATGTCGGTAGAAACAGCATTATCTGCTATTGATGAAGTTATGGCAAATTTCAAGACCCTCGTGTAATTTGAATATTGAATTTCCTATTTTTTGTTACCTTGTGTCAAGATTACCCGCCTCAATAGATTGTAGAATGTTACGGAAACATTATTCAACATACAGTTTGCAAAATAATCTCAAAGAAGCTGATTTTTCTAAGACGAGAAGCATTTTGTGAATTTATCATAGCTTGGACACCGAATTTAAATGTCAATAATCATAATTTCCGTTATCGGAACGATTCCAATTTACATGTATATTTGTGTTATGGTTTTGTTTGTAGACTGAAGTGTAGTTTCGGAGCCAAATTGGAACTATTTTGAATAGACTGTGCATGAATTTCTTCAATTTTATTAAATCTCATGTTGTTATCATCTTTTTTAGGTGAATTTTTATGCTCGTTCTGCAACAAAAGATATATGAGGAAAAAACATTTGCAAAGGCATGTTAATTATGAGTGCCAAACCGAGCCCCAATTTAAATGCCATCTCTGTTCGAAAGCTTTCACACGCAGACACAATTTAACAAGGCACATCAATCTTTGTCATACTCCTCCATTTTTTTCTAATGCTAAAGCCTCGTGCTGATTCAAATTTTTCGAAAGATTGTAATTGTACAAATATAATTTATTTGCCAAATGTGTATTATTCTATAGTTCCATTCGAGTTGGTTAGCGTGCAGAAACATAAACAAGGTACCTATTGAAATAATATAACATTTTCTTCATTTCGTTTATTTCCGTTCGAATATTTTTAGCATATGCTGCCTAAATCTGACAGCATTCTTCTGCTGTATTTCTCCAGATAAAATATATTTATCACAATGAATAATATTTTATTTTTTCTATAATTCAAGTATTCTCCATCAGTGTTTCAATGTTGACCATGTTGTAAAAATGTGTAAATTTCATAACACATTTTGCTACTACTTATACAAATACGATTAGCACTGAAATCATATGTCAACAAAAGTAATAAATGTTGGAGAGTTTCATAAAAATGGAACCTAATTTTTTGAAATATGGTTTGCGAGTTCGTTTCCCAACTACTTTTGAATAAATGAATTCTTGCGAGAAAAATTTTTGGTCAAAGTCACGTTCGAATTCACGACATTAGATTTGTGAGTCTGGTACACTATCACTGTGTCAATTCACCGAAAATTTCGACTTATGGCGCCCAGTCGCCATCTTGAAAGTTTCATCTGTCAATATCACTTCAAAATAAAGTATTCATACATTGATTTCATCATCCCAAATTTCAATTTTTTCAGTTGACCCGTTCAAAAAATAAAAGGGAGAGGGACATTAAAGAAATGCAGAAATGCACTGTATAACATGACGTACGTAGCCAGTTATTATAGGAATTTATGTGTCTGATACTTTGCCACTACCGCATGGAATACTGAAAGGTTCGATTTTTGAAACTTTAATATATTTTCTTTCAATATATGTATATCTAATATTTACCAAAGCGTCAAAAAGTGTACGATTCATCACTACGCTGGTGATACAGCTTTTTTACTGAAAATATTAATTAGTATCATCGAAAAAGGTCTGCAGGGCATACATTTCAACTAGACCCATCAAAAAGTAGCTCAATGTTTTTTTGTCCAAAGACTTGCTAGGACGGTATTTTGATAAAACTCTATCAGGAATCACGCTCCAAGTTATTGATGTTTCAAAAAATTCAGGATTATAGATCGATTCAAGATTGACCAAAAACATCAGTCATCTCTGTCTGATCTCATTATTAACCTATTGTGATTATGTTTATGGTCTAGCCTTACTTCAAGCTAATGCTGTCCGTTTGCAATGAATATTTATCTTTGTAATTGATTATAATTTGTCTTCTACATCTTATTGAAGGGTGCTGGATAACTGATTGCTTTCAACTAATATACCTAACTATAGTTAGATAAAAAAATGGAATGTCAGTATGAGTGAATTATTTTGTAGTTATTGAATATTGCTACCGAAAAATATTTTATTTATTTCAGATGGGCGTCCGATTCCTTGCCCGCAGTGCGGTAAAATGTACAAAAATTTGTTGACTATAAATTCTCATCTAAGACAAGATTGCGGAAAAGATTTGGCATTTTCTTGTGAGTTCTGCCAGAAAAGCTTTAAGAGGAAGCAAAGGCTCAGAGAACATATGGCCTGTGTTCATCGCCTTAAGTGGAATAATACATAATAATATCATCTTTTCAGTTGTTTCTTAATAGTAATTTTATTTTTTCAACCATTATATACATTATCTGAGGTCGCTGAAAATTAAATATGGTTGTTCACATAATATTTAAAAATATTCAGTTCTAATTAAATACTAATCTATTACATTTGATGAAATTATTCTTGTTTTTCTTTTCTCAAGAACCATTAGTGGAATTGTAGAGCGGTTAACTTGTTAGTCGCGACTAACAAATGAATGGAAAAATATCTAACCTTTACATCAAAGTCAATTTTTGGTTTCTGCTGAACACATGCAAAGTTTCGTATTGAGTATCATATTATTATGTTTTGAGTTATCATTGACCAGCATACTAAGTAAAACAGAATTAATGGTTTATAAAAATGATTACGTAATGATCTTCTCAATATATAATATAATCAAAAAATAATACTGAATTCTCAATAAAATTATTCAAAATCTACCACTCACTAAATTGTTGAAATTTCACTGCAACACTATTTTTCAGTGCGAATATTATTGATCATTTCACAATTTTGATCATCAATACGTACAGGAAACCAATCTAAAATAACTTTTTACCACCAATCATTCCTCATTAGTTCAAAATTGGAATTTTCTGCGTCATCAATCTGGTAATTATTCTATTATACATTTATTGAAATTGTATCACATACTTTGAATATTTTACAGTTTGTACTGGTTTTTCCGAACGAAATTTTTGTTTATTCCTGGTTATTTTTCTTTTCAATGCCAACTTCATGAGTAATTTATTCATTTATAAATTCATTGGTAAGGAGAATAGTGAATAACTGAAATTTGAAAAAAATTTGAAATAATTATTTTCTAAATAAATGGATTTTACTAAAACATTTGTATTACATTTGCTTTTTAAATACACTTTGTACATGAATGGCAGGGTTTTTGTTGTCTGAGGACCATATTATTCTTCTGGTAACAATATCACATATGGCCACATGCCATAATTTCTTTGAAAAAAACAAATCAAACTTGATTATCGCGTTATACGACAATATTTAAAGTGAGACAGAAATTCAAAAAAACAATCGACAAAAAACATGTGCCCAAATATCAGAAATATTTGGAGGGACTTCAAAATCTGAAGTGGCTACGATTAGAAAATTTTGTTTTATTAAACAGTTTCATTTAGTTTGCCCCGTTTGTTTGTTTGTTTGGGTCAAATTTGGTAATTGAAGTTTGACCTCCTTCCTGTTGACAGATTGATCTGAAATTTGGTACACACATTAAGTTTTTATGATAATACAATTTAATGAATTCTATATCATTTGTAAATTCAAGGTCGCCGCAGCTACAAAATGGTGGATTACATAGTTTTTGACAACTACCTCAAAATGGGTTTCAAATGGCAGGGTTTCGCTAGTAGAATAGTAGTACTCTTTGAAAAATATGCAAATTCAATATGGCCGCCGCTACAAAATGGTGGATTTCATATTACCTTGTAATACTGAGGCACTAAATGAACTGAACATAATGAGAAGAATTGAGTTACAAAATTAGAAACTCAAAACTTGGAAATAAAATAAGTAAAAGAGAATTTCCATGTTGAACGGTTTTATTTGAAGAAGGATAATAATGATGTGGATAATGTACTAAGAACAAAAACAATTGGAAGGTCCTAGGTAGCAGTAATCACACCACTCTCATCAGCATTCTACGGGATTGATCAGATATAAAATAATAAAATCGTTGGGCACAGTATTCACATATTTACTCAGGTCACGCTATGCCAAACAATTTAATTTTTTTTCATCTGACCAATACTATAGATTCCTGAGGAGAGTAGTGTAGTGACTGCTACCTAGGGCCTTTTGAATTATATTTCAGTTTTAAGTACATTATCTACATCATAATAATTTTTTTTCAATAAAACCGTTCAACATATTTTTTTTTACTAATTTTATTGTATTTCTCATCAGTCTGTAAAAACTAGGTGAGATGCTGTCATTCCTTTCTGAAGTTCTGATGTTATGTGGAAAAGTGTTGTTTCGAAGCTTATTTCTGAGTGCGCTTCAGTCCAACTTTCAAGTTTTTATAAAAATATTCATTGAAAAAATATTGGTTTATTGCAAAAGTACCACTGTATCTGAGCTATATCATTATTACATATTGAAGTGTTTTAGGGACATTTAAACGAGAATACCGAGGCATGTAATGTGGTCTACTGTATTCAGTCTCCTGAACATGGTTTGAAATAAGCCAATAAGTCTGTATCATTCAGAAATATTTAAACTTGCTTTTTTTCTAAATAAAACATAAACATAAAACATAAAACACTCGAAAAACGAGTGTTTTTTCCATAGAATCTTTCATCTTATTTCACATAATGTTTTCACTTCTCAGATGTGTAACTGATTTTGTATTTTTCAGATTCAGATTTGAATTCTATGACTATCATTGTTGAATATATTTTCATTAATTTTGGGAGTAGTCCAATAAATGATTACGTAATTTTTCTCAGAAAAGAGGCAATAAGTATTATTTTAATTGATACCTATTTTTAAAAATAACCTTTTTTGTTGAAACCTGAAATTTGAAAGCACACTATGTCTCTTGTAACAATAATTTTACCCTTTCTCTCCACCACTGCCTAACCGTAAATTTGGGTACCTTCCCTGACCTGTTAACGCGGCTGCAATACAGTCGTTTCCAGCTGATGCGGTTCCCGCCAAGTGTTGTTGAGTGAGTTACGGGACTTGAGCTTATTAACGCTTTACTACTGGGGATAAATATATTATTGTTCCGGACGAAAATATGTCGATTTTCCTTTAAATTTTCTCTAGTGTGTTTGTGTGTGATTTAAAGTACAAGATTTCGTCTGTGGTAAGTCTCAACTTTGAATCATATGGAATCAGAAAGTAAAACTTATCAGGTTTATAAACCATTCCGATAACCTTTCACGCAAAACGAGAGGTAGAGATAGTCGGCAGCTGTTTAGTTACAACTAATGACAGCGCTTGCTAACCATGAGCGTAGCTAGTTAGATATTTGAGGGCCACTTCGAAACTTAAATCTAAGAAATAACAAAAATATTTTTTAATTAAATTCCATAACTTTTTCATACCATAACAGTGTGTATTTCTTTCTGTCTAATTGAAAGCATATTATAAAATGTTAAAAATATAAATAAAAATACTGTACGCAGATGGTAAATGATATGTATTTCTTTCCAAAGCGATGTGGTACTACACAAAATGCAGGTAGGTAGAGTACATATTACGCTACCCTTTTTATGATTGCATAAATATCTTTTTCTTGAAAATTATAATCTTTTGTGTACGATAGCGTTTTTTCACATGAAGCCTTCCTGTTTAGAGATGGGCCAATTCGAATTACTAATTCGAATTAACTCTAGTTTTTCTCCATTTGAGTTGGAATTTTCTCATTCCAGTTAGGGCAGGTCAAATCAGCTCTGTCTGGAGTTAGTTCATGATCGTTTTGTTCAGGTTCATGCTTCATCTAGTTGAAGCTTCATTAATACCTCCAGTTTTGAACATCAAAAAAGTGTATTTCAGCCATTTTAAATTACTTTAAAGATGTAGGTATTTATTTGAATCCTAGTAATCATTACTATTCCATTTCAGCCTTGATTACATGTAATAAAATTCTCAACGTATTCTCATTAGCCTCTCGACGTTTAGCTTGATTTGTTATTTTTATATTAGGCAAATAAGGAAATTAATATTACTACTATTTTGTTTGTTATTTTTTCCCCCAAGGTTGATCTGGTCTTTTCAGCAACGGCAACCCAACACTGATGGGAGTGGTCATTGTGGTCAATAATTATAATGAACACATTCAACACCGAGTTATTATTATCATTATTGGTATTATTATCGTAATTTTTCCCTAACTGGTATGCTGGTCTGGCCCTGTTCCCGAAGCTCCGACCCAGTAGGAAGGTGGCGCCACCATTATAAAGCAATTACCACTCCCCACACCGTGGGGTAAGTGATCATTGGGTCCAATAATAATGTGCGAATAATGATATCCTTCTGCTTTTGTCCGGCCTTCGTGCGGCAAGCCGGCATCATATCGAGATTCAAGAGTAGGAAGGGCATCATTCCACCCAGGACTCCAATAATCATAACAATAATTTTTACAGAGTGGTCGGGTTAGGGCTAGAGTCTGCGGAGTTCGAAGACAAAGTCTTGATATTTCAACCGTTTTTGTTCCTCTTTTCGGACTATATTCGTCTCACTGGGAACTGAAAACTCCTCGATGAATATAGTGTTGCTCTGATGGTTGAAAAGAACTACATCAGGCTTATTATCTTGTATGAGCCTTCGGGTGGAGAATGAATAGTTTCAATAATTCGGCACTTTCCATATCTTGTATGAGCCATATCTTGTATGAGCCTTCGGGTGGAGAATGAATAGTTTCAATAATTCGGCACTTTCCATTCCCCTCACCGGATTCAATATCCCCTGGAGCTTAGGGCAACACCGGTGTCTGGTCAATAACGTATCGTAGATGGTAATAAAGCACTCTTAGGGCCACGTTATGTCGATGTATATAGGCCAATACCCCATATGCTGAATTGGTTTACTCGACTAATATGGCGAGATTCTCGATGTGGCTACACAAAATCCAAGTATTGTTCATATGGCATCCAGGTATTTCACGATTGTTGAAATATGGAGTTGAAGAAAAATTGACCTAGAGAGTTAAAAAAAAGTAAAGTGTAATGGAATTTCAGTTACAGGCGCATAAACAACTATTAGTGTGAACTGTGAGGGACAAATTCAATTTGAAGAAATTTTATGGGGGAGTTCAAACATGAGGATTATGAAGAAGAAAATCATATAAATTTCTTGCAACAAAGTTCCTCATGATTTCGATAAGCTATCAAAACATCCATTTAGTTACTTGTTGTGAAGGTATGTCAAGCGCATATAGTGAGAATGTTTCAGGAAATTGTAGAACAAAAATGTTGTTGACGAAAGAGCGAAATCATCTACTCGAGTTACTTTCAACAAATACTAAAATTGTTGATCCCTACAAAAGTGGCAGTTAAGATAACGATCATATTCAAAATCCTTTTAGCATGAATGTAACCAATATAGTTTAGAATTAGTTATTTTAGATGGTTTGATATGTAAGATAATGATGTTAAATTAAGGTAATCACCATTAAAGTTTGCTTTGTTTTTCAGCTCCCCACTATCGTGTATTCCGAAACTATACTGAATGCTTACGCTGCCATAAGAAATACAAATACAAGAAAAACTGCGTACAACATATTCGTTTGCAGTGTTTCAAGGAACCCCAGTTTGTATGTAGTATTTGTAACAGAAGTTACAAATTCAAAAAGGATTTGGTGCGACATGTCACAGAAAAACATTTACATTTTGACATTTAATTTCATATGTGAATGTGATATTTAATATTTTCTCTAAGGAGCTTATTCGAATGACCAGTTCAAATTCCTAGATGTTTTCAGTTACTTAATAATTATACTTAATCATTGTTTTGTAAAATAATCTCTGGGGTATAGAGATAATGTATTGAAAGACTTGGATAATGAATAAAATGCTTTGAGTTGAATGTCTCTTCGTTCATCGGTTCGCAGACAAGAAGACAAGTGGCACCTGTCAAATATAATCTAACGCCCTTCGTGGTATTAGCCAGGGGAGTAGTTGTTTTCTGACAGGTGTCAGGCTCTTAACCTACAGTGTAGGTGAGTTGAGACTGACCTGATCGTATTGTTCTTTTAGAAAATTTGAAATAAACAGAATCTCCATTATCGAAATGAAATCACTTTCTCATGATAGTGAATGAACATCTGGAAAAAGGGGTGATTGTCAAAGAGCGCACTGAAAAGGTCGGATTATACTTTGCCTGCCAGCGATTGGAAATAATTCATTTGTCATAGTTAATGAAAGGTAGAACTGCAACATATTGAGTAAAGAAAATAAGTTTATTTTTTGTGGTCTTCAAGTGACTTGAAAATTGTTTAATGAACTGAAACTGGTCGTAACAAATGATGAACTTAGTAGAAATTAAACAAAAGTTATTTTTTTTATTATATATTCAATTTTAATGTCTACAAAATAAGTAGGTCGTGAACCGAACAAGTTAGAACTGCAGAATTCGGTGTTGAATAAATCTAAAACAAGCATTGTACCTGATCTGTATCTGTAGAGTAGGGACGGTGAGTATAGACATATAGCACTTAGGCCACATGTGACCCATTCTACATCCTCCCAAGGAGTTGTCCTCCTAGGTCATCGTCCATTCTGTTCTTTCCAGGAAGGTGGACAGGCCACTAAGAGGCATCTCCTTCATAACGGCAAGTGAGGGTCAAGGCTCGCCGAACATACACTCTCTTTGGCAACCTTGAGGTGTCTTACGGCGGCCTTCGTGAAGGTTTTGGAAGGTGCAGCGACATTACTGTTCTTGCGCGGCTTCTTCAACCTTCTTGGGGTTCCCTCCGTGGAGTTGCTTAAGTAAGGGCGCTTTCCTGCAAGGGCAGCCGGTTGGACGTGGAGTGGGGGAGGAGGAGGGTGCACTTATAGTTGCTGCCACTCCTGCCTCTTTCGTTTTTTTTCTCCTTTTGGCCTCGGCGCCGCAAATGCGCTTACGCCTTGGCCTTCATATTATATCACGAGGTGATCTGCCATGTCCAGCCTCATTCCGAGTGGAAGATTGGGGTAACCTTTCTGTTCATCCCCAGCCACCGCCATAGAATGAGGTGAGCATTTCTGTCCAGCTTCGGGGGTGGTTTTTGTTTTTCTGTGTCCGTTTTTGTATTTGTTTCATTCATGTGTGTTCTCACGAGTAGCAGGGGAAGAGTTGGTCACTCTGGCAGAGCCCCACATTACCAGAGGAAGGCTGATTACAATGAGGTTCCGCCCTGTTCCCCAAGGGGATCGTTCGTAACCGGATATCACCCTGCGGCTATTAAGCTATCGGCACGATTCCTTACACCTTAGCTTGGGTAGGCTGGTCCACGGTGGCATGTTTTGCAAAGGTTTTTTCTGTCACTGACCGGGAGTCTGGCGACCCCGTCCGTAAGGCCACAGTGGCTTCCCGGACAGGGCCCCCAGTCTCCTGGCCGTTCCCCTATTCACCACCTGGGGACGCGCCCGATAGGTAGCCCAACCCACGAGCATTGTATCTAAACACAGAGCTTCAACACAGAAGGGTGTTAAAATTCTGGTGTTTGGAAAAAGTGCTTGTTTTGGATTTGCCCTTACTTATTTCAAATTGTTTTGACACAGTAGTTTCCAGTGGTTTCCATTAAAATACAAGCTGCTTCAAACTGAGAGCCCACCACTGTTAACTTATTTATTATTGAACATACGAAATAGTTTAAATTGACAAACTTGTACCATTTTCATGCTCATGAAAATGCAAAATACCAAAAACATTCTTGTAATAAAGTTTTGACGTTTTCAAATATGAATATCTGTATGTATTCTTCAAATAATCTCACAGAAGAAAATCAAGAGTAGTGGAGTCGGGAGTCCCGGAAAATCATTAAATAATACCATGTGTTCATATATCCCTTCATCAATGAGCACGGTTATCAAAAGTAGGTGCTCCATCCTGCTGAATTCAAGACGTATCATGAATAAAAGAAGCAATAATTGATTAAAAACCAGAGTCCAAACACATCGCATTTATAATCCAATACCAGACAGAGTTGTTTCGACCCGTCATAGATCTCACCACTGGTGCTACACTGGACCGCAAATGCATTGCTGAACTCAACATTCCTTAAAGAAGTCTGAGTGAATAAGGACGTTGACAAAGATGAACAAAATCCCAAACATAATGCATTGTGTTTAGGCTCTGGTTTTCAACTATTTGCATTGCAGTGAATGGCAGAGGATGAATCTCGTCGGCGGTCGATGTCGAAGTTTGGCTTTTCAACTGGCCGCCTTTGGGAGTCTTGTTATTCTTTGATATTCGAGGATTGAATTCTCGATCGATGCCACAGATGGTGTCATCACCCTCATTTGGACCAATAACACTCGATCCGATTATTCCATACAAACATCAATCCTGAAACGTATCTGATGACTTCTTGGAAAAATGTAGAGGATTTATTCTCAGTAATGCCGAAATTTTAGAGGTTGGATTACTTCAACAATAAAAGGTATTCTGTCTGGATCTCTTGCCACTAACACTTGAATTGGTCGATATTCATAAGAGGCGAATGCCAAAAAAATAGAAGGAATTACTCGACAACGTTTGAATTTCTCAAAGTAGGCTAACTGAAAACGTTTTTAATTTGGGTTATGCCGATAACAGTGCCATTACTTCGAAATCATGGGTACCTCTTCAAAGATAACGTTGATGCCGCAAATCTCATTCAGGGTACAATTTAGCATGGTATTCTATTATTCTGGAAGAACATTTTGAGGTAATTTAACAAGCTTGTAGCATATCACATTTACTATGTGAGAAAATCGCATATTGATGGCAATTTACAACGTAAGCAAAAACATCGTTTCGCCACATTTAACGTCGCTTCTGTTCTGTATTAGACCCTTCGTCTATATAGAAAAGACACGGAAGAGACAAAAATATGCGTTACGTCCGCGCTTCGTCTTCGCCTGACGTTCTTCCTGTGTTATCAGCGCGATAGAAGATGGCTCATGTGTCAAGGTTAATATGAGAAACACAAAGATGGTTCTCGAGCGTAAGGAATCAAGCTTTGGCAACGATTTCAAATTATTGGAACGTATAATAATTCTCATTGCCGGGTCTCTTTTGTGTATTTTTGTTATTAGTCCGGTCAATTTAGACATTCGAAGCTACTTGAATTCCCACCAAGCTGAAAATCAATAACATTATTCAAAATATGATAAAAAATTAAATTTTAAAGTTTCCCATCTTTCCCCTTCATGAAAAAAATGTTATTCGAGGTGGAAAGTCAAAAAATTAGTTTTTTTTGCGATTTTCAGTATAAAGGTAAGTTTCATCATAAAAACACTTCAGACAAAAATTGTAGATCATATAATTATCATAACTTTTTTCCCTACGAGCCACCGTTTTTGAGATATAACGATTGGCGTGGAAACGTGTGCATAATATGCACAAGTTTCCACGCCACGTATGAGGTAATGTACTTAGCGCGTTTTTTAACGTGGTTTCCCCAGTAGGCCAATTCCACGGGTCAGTTGGGATCCTGTTTAATTTGAAACTATTGCAAAATAATGGATATCAGCAGAGATTACAAAGATAAAAGAAGTAGTGAAATTGAATCGTCCGAGTCGTAACTTTCAAATTCTTCTTCTTGTTATTCTTATTGATCTTCTTGTTCTTGTTCATCTTGTTCTTCTTTTTGTTCTTGTGCTTCTTTGTCTTCATCCTGAGTACATGTAAACTGCGTTAATAGCGATGTATTTATTGCATGTCGCCTCGTTGGAATCAAACGGATCCTCCACTGTTGGAGATTCAATATTAGAACACGACCGGCCTTGACAATGTCTACATGCCAGAAAACAAAATAGTTATTGCGTGTAAAAATAGTACATTATTTTGACACCTTGCAAAAGTAGTTAAACCTTTTGATAATAATATTTGCGATTGATGTTGAACTTTTCCTGGTTTTAAGAATAAAATTGTTTTTTCAGTTGGAGTTCGAGCAGAATACGAGTAGGTCTACACATCTTCACCAACAACAATAGTAGTATTTTTCAAATTGAATTGCTCTTTTGCTGTGTCAATTATCAGTACCACAGCATCATTATTAGCTTGTTTCACCAATATATTTCCAGCAGTAAATTTTTCTTTCAACATTGAAATGAACCGAGACTTGTGAGTATTTGTAAGAAATTTCTGTTGACTGGATGGAACTGTCATATTTTCATCAAATAAAATATCAATTGTTGTAGATGTTGCTAAAGTTCGACGATGTTGTTCTGCAGCTTTGGTATTTCTCGTGTAATCATTATAGCCATCAAATACGACACTTCCTCTGGAACCAAAATGTCGACGTACATACTATATGTATTTATCTGAGATAACGTTAAATGTTTCTTCGCTATCCCACTCATGCATATTATGACGATTACAACTTTTACAACGTTTTGAATCGTTATATCTCAAAAACAGTGGCTCGTAGGAAAAAAGTATAGAAATATTTTTTGTAGATAATTTTATGATCTACAATTTTTGTCTGAAGTATTTTCATAATAAAACTCACTGTTTTGCTGAGAATCGCGAAAAACTAATTTTTTTTACTTTTGACCTTGAATAAAAATTTTTCCATTCAGGGGAAAGATGGGGAACTTCCACCTTCTATCTTTAATCTTATTTTGAACAATCTTACTGATTTTCAGCTTGGTGGGTATTTAGGTAGCTTCACTCTCATTTTTTGATCTAATTTTACCGGACTATATGGAAATTCAAAAGTTCATTCAAGATCGATCGGACGATAGGAAGTGAAAATCCATGGTCCGGCTTCGCCACCGGATCACACAGCGGTCGATTGAGTGAGTGGACGGATGGATGTGCATAAGTGTTCAGTACATTACAGGTAAAAATATTCAACCAGAACATCAAGTAGCTCCAAATGAATTTAATGTAATATT